CCCGAGCGCCTCCGGAGGCTCCGGGGCCGGGGCCGGGGCGACACCCGGAGCCGAAAACGGCGAAAAATCGCAACGATGACGATTTCCCGTCATGCAATTTTCCAAGAAAGCGCCCAGCTCGCACGCCCCTGGCCCCCCGCGCGTCGACCAACTTTTCCGCGAGAAACCTTGCGAAAAATTCGCGATAGTGACGGCTTCCCAGCTCGCATTCTTCAGAGAAGCTGCCCCCCTCGCCCGCACGCCCGGGGACAAGAAACCGTCGCGAAAAATTCGCGATAATTTCCCCCTCCGAGCGGCACCTCCACGAAGCTTCTGCCCCGGCCCGAGGGGTCCGCCCGGGGAGGGACAACGCTCGCGAAAAAAATCGCGAGCGTTTCCCCCTCCGAGCAGGGCCCCCCAGAAACTTCCTCGCCGCGCGTCGACGACCGCGAATTTTCCGCAAAAAACCTTGCAGGAAATTCGCGATAGTGACAGCTTCCCAAACCCCACGGTTCAGAAAAGCTGGCCCCCTCGCCCGCCCCCGGCCCCAGCCCCGCCCCTGCCCCCGACCTCAGCCCCGGCCCCGCCCCCGGCCCCGGCCCTGGCCCCGGCCCCGCCCCGGTCCTGGCTCTTTCCTTTCTGTTCGCCTCCTCCGAGCGCGAACTATGTTTTCTGGCGGCGGCAAACTCCACCGCGCCCCCGCCCAGAGGAGAGAGCGCGCTGAAGCTCACCGCCGCCAGAAAACTACCCGCCCCAGCCTCCTCCGAGCGCTGGGGCGGGTAACCGGCCCGTGTCCGGCTGGGACCAGCGCTGATCATCTGTCCAAGGGGACTTCGATGATCAGCGCCAGCCCCGGGGAAGCCTCCTCCGAACGCTTCCCCCCCAGCCTCCTCCGAGCGCTGGGCCCCGCCTCCTCCGAGCGCGGGCACCCACATTTCCCCCCCCTCCGGGCGCAGGAAATATGGGCGGGTGGTTAGTTTAAGGTCAACCACCGTAATACCTGGGAGAGAGGGGAGGGCGCGCGTGTGCGCGCGTGCGTGGTGTGCGTGCGTGTTGTGTGTGTGTGTGTGTGTGTGTGTGTGTGTGTGTGTGTGTGTGTGTGTGTGTGTGTGTGTGTGTGTGTGTGTGTGTGTGTGTGTGTGTGTCTCTGTGTCTGTGTGTCTCTGTGTCTCTGTGTCTCTGTGTCTCTGTGTCTCTGTGTCTCTGTCTCTCTGTGTCTCTGTGTCTCTGTGTCTCTGTGTCTCTGTGTCTCTGTGTCTCTGTGTCTCTGTGTCTCTGTGTCTCTGTGTCTCTGTGTCTCTGTGTCTCTGTGTCTCTGTGTCTCTGTGTCTCTGTGTCTCTGTGTCTCTGTGTCTCTGTGTCTCTGTGTCTCTGTCTCTGTGTCTCTGTGTCTCTGTGTCTCTGTGTCTCTGTGTCTCTGTGTCTCTGTGTCTCTGTGTCTCTGTGTCTCTGTCTCTGTGTCTCTGTGTCTCTGTGTCTCTGTGTCTCTGTGTCTCTGTGTCTCTGTGTCTCTGTGTCTCTGTGTCTCTGTGTCTCTGTGTCTCTGTGTCTCTGTGTCTCTGTGTCTCTGTGTCTCTGTGTCTCTGTGTCTCTCTGTGTCTCTGTGTCTCTGTGTCTCTGTGTCTCTGTGTCTCTGTGTCTCTGTGTCTCTGTGTCTCTGTGTCTCTGTGTCTCTGTGTCTGTGTCTGTGTCTGCGTCTGCGTCTGCGTCTGCGTCTGCGTCTGCGTGTGCGTCTGCGTCTGCGTCTGCGTGCGTGCGTGCGTGCGTGGCGTGCGCGCGCGCGCGTGCGCGCGCGCGCCCGGCGCGGCCGCCCCGCCCCCGCCGCCCCGCGCGCGGCGG